TATATGCTGTATCTGTGATAGAAATCTGTTTTACATACAGAGTGTGTATGTAAAACAGAGTTTTCAGTACAAAAATGAGCGAGTTCTCTTTGAGGTCGTTTTTAAATGCAGAAAAGTGGACATTTCTTCTAAAGCAAATATGCATGTATCTTAAGTGAGTGTCTTTAATGTGCTTAAGTAATCACTTAATTAGTGTTAGTGAAGCGATGACCTGTATGATATGACGTGAAACAGCATGCACAGAACGCTGCTTAACAAATTGGCCTTTTGTCACTCACACCACAAAGACTTTGTGGTGTGACTAAATTAATAATCTCACCTTTTGGAATGTCAATAACATTCAGTTCAACGAAGGAAAAAAAAGATGTCAGTGTTAAACTAGATCAGGGTTAGAAAGATGAAGTTATACATGAAACTGTTCCTTATCTTTCTGGATCTGCAGCCACTCCGTGCACAGCACCAGCTGAATCCCGATGTTCTGCATGCCAGCTCAGCTGTGGTCTGAAGTCCGCCCATTTCCACTCCATCAGACGTGTTTGTGTTTGCTGAAGTTCATCTGGAGGCAGCCTTGGGATGAGCCTTGTTATTCTCCTCAGTGAGACATGAGGCACAGTCTCTAATTAGAACACATCTCCTGGTGAGATAGACACTGAGGTCTGACTACCCCTCCAATCTAATCAGCTCTCTATCACACTTTAGCTACTCCACAGAAGGCAGACTCTCCCTTGTCTGACAAATAGATACAACAACATGGAGATGGCGCTGAACAACTGTTTCTGGTTTGAAGGACTCTGCAGAATTTCACACGTCTGAATCTTGAAAGGCCACGCGCCTAACAGAATCTCACATCCTCACCAGCCTTCTCTCACTCTCCTGTTAGGAAGACACATGGAGGTGGCTGCTGATTTGAATGTAGATGCAAGCTGTGGATTACATAAAGCATACATGACCTACATTAAAATTGATATTTCGTTTTTTTATTCTGCCTCAGTTGGTGCACGTATAGGTGCATAGAGCACATCACACATGCCCACTTAGGAAGTGTCATCTCTACATCCTAACTTTGGTCTCCGAATAGTTACGGAACGTGTATCATCACATGCTGGAGACCGTGCCACTGTTGTCAGCGCCTCATTTTAATTTGGCTCCCTGGCTGCCGGTGATTTCGACCACTGGGACACCCTGTCGGCTGTGGAAGCTAAACTATTCTGAAGCATTAGGACCGAGCGAGGTGCAGCGCTGAGGCTCTGCCTCGCCGTTGTCAGCGGCTGTCTCATTCGGGTACCAGGGAACCTCATGCAGTCCCACGAGAACGTCACCAGCAAACGGCACGGAAGAGGAGGACTAAGAGAATGTGTACTCTTTTAATTCGCCACAGCTTCAAAAGAGCAGTATGTGGGCTGCGTTTTCCTGAAGGCACACATTAACACTTATTAGGGTGTTGTTGACAACGACGTAAAAATGATCCCAATATTACTGTTTCAGGGAAGGATTCCTTTGGAAATAATCCGCCGCTGCTGCTTCCGCCTTGCCTCTGTGCTCATTAAAAATCCAAAGAAGTGAAGGTTTGAGGCTACATTAGGCAACAGGGATTATGCTGGAGATGAACTACATTATCTGCTTGCTGAGAACATCGCTGTGACACATGAACACTTAAAAGTCTCTCCTCAGCCACTGCCCTGATTCTAAAACTTAGATATTGTCTGGTGACCATTTCTGGATAGATTTCCACTCCTTCAGAAGAATCTTGATGGTTATAGCTCTCTCTTGAAATAAAAAAAAAACAATTTGCATCTGCGTGTGTCCTCAGAGTTAGTCAGAGCTACGTGTAGCATGTATCGGCAGTTCTGTGAAGGATTAAGCGATCCCTTCCGCTGTCTGCAGGTATTTTAAGCATTCGGTAATTATCCGGCTGCAGCATGAGGATGAGGTGGTGAGAACTGTACGCGACAGGAAAAGTCTTTTGATTAGGAATGTGATCCAAACCTTCAGCGAAGCTAAATATGCCCATATCTGGTTATTTGATGTAACCATTTAGTCATTAGGTCTTGTATCATAACAAGACAAAACACTGATTAACGCGATATTCACAAATCACACACTCATTAAGAGTCACAAGCACCTCGTTAGCTTGAGTACAAATGGGTCACATTGTAGTGCTCCAACATGCAAAAGATTTAATAATTTGCATGGGATGGTCTCAAGGGGAGGGGGGGGGGGGGCTTGAAGAGGAAGTGTGTGTGTGCAGCCGGTGTGCATGAGAGGCAAAGGTAGAAAGAGAAGGAGAGATTTGACCTGCAGGCAATCTCTGGAGAGCTGTTCACTGAGTCTAATCAGACTCTGGCTGATGCTTGTTCTAGGGGATTGCTTCTCTCCAGCCCTCAGGCCTAATTAGGACCCCTGTGTACCATAGAGAGGGGTTGCTGCTCGCGGTGAGGACCAGATAGACGTTCACCTGTGCGTGCTCGTTGGGCAACAGAAATGAGCTGCCGGTGAGCATCGTGACAAGGAGGGCATCAGAGGTGGTGTAGCCACACCGCTTGCACTCCCCCCGCTGGAGGTCCTGCGAGTTTAATGAATGTTGGGAAGAGGAGAGAGAAAGAAAAGCTCTGACAAGAGATGGAGAAGAAAAGGCTGCTGTCTGGTTGAGGGAGGGTCACGGATACTGGAGCATCTTTCGAGTTTTTTTTTTCTTTTTTTTTTTAACAATGTAGCCATTTGAAGGAGACTGGGAAAAAAAAACGAGAATGTCAGAGTCTAAACATAGCAAAGGAAAGAGCTCAACTTTCTGGATTTCTAATGCCAAATGCTGGGGAATCTTCAAAGCAGGCACGCTGGCACATGCAAATTTCAAGAACACTCTAGATTAAACAGTATTCACAAAGATAAAAGTACTAAGCTTCTGAGGTATGCAGAGAACAGAGAGAAACTTTCATTAATGAGTTTTATTAGTTAAGAAAACAGATTTTCAGAGTTTGAAGATCCAACATGAATCAAATATTTAATAGTAAATTTAATAATCTGCTGCCTCCACCAGGGGTTTCCTGTGCTGAATATAAATAAGAATGCAACAAGCATTATATAAAACGTACACAGATAAATAAGTAAATGCAGACACATGAACATATAAGATGAAATTATTTTAGAACGTGGAAATATTCAAATATATTAACAAACATAAGATCAATTATTAAAAAGCCCTTACCATTTGTCTCATAGTATGATGTTTTACTTTTTCATCACTATATTTGTTTCCTGTGCTTTAATACTCTTGAGCTATAGATTAATTTTTTTTCCAGTATTTTCTTAACTCTATAAGTCCTTTTTTTCTTGAGTTAAAACTTACCATACTGAGTATGAGAATCAGATGATGCTTGATTTATTCATTTTGTTAAGAATTTTATTAGATACAGAAAAATCTGTGAAATTTGAAGTGAACTATGTCAGTCTGCAAGTCATGCATAGAAATTAAGCCTTCTTGAATATTATCTGGAGGGGTGGCACAGTCTTCAATGTAATATGATATATTAACAGGTTTGATGCAGTTCTAAACATTTTACAGTGATTTAAATTACAGCAAAACTGATCAAAATTCAACCACACCGTTTAGATGATGAGCAATTTACCTATATTCCTAATGTTTGCTTTAAAACAATGTATACACTGTAGTGTATCACGCACAATTAAAGGTTCTCATGTGGGACATTTTCTAATACTGTTGATGCTGCCAGGATCTGTTTGAAACACTTTGCTTTTACTCCTGTCCCTTTAAGACCCTCTCTTACGTATGAGTCCATGAGTTTTTTTTTACTGGGAAAAAGGTCCTCAGTATATAAAACTTTGCATACCTTTCAGTGCAAAAATAAGCTAAACATAATAGACTGAAGCAAAAACAGAAAAGCAAAAATTGATTATGTGACCTCACTTAAGCGGCTAATTACTCATAATGTCACATTGTGTTATAGGGATTTTGAGTTTAGAATCATACGGATGCTTCTTCAAAATGAAAATATATATATACTTTCTGTTCATGTGTCACAAAGGGTTGTTCTTGTGCGATTACAGCAAAGACAGGAGGTCTGGCTTTAGTATTCACAGAATGTAGCTGAATTGAAACTTTTTACAGCAATATTGTGAGACCGAGTCCCGGAATCTTTTTGATAACCCACCACGGCTAGGTGTTCTCTCTTTTGTCTTTGAAAAGTGATTGAAATTCCTTTCACCTACACCCACTCATGCACCTACCACCAGTTCCAAGGCTCACATCAAACCTTATAGAATGCAATCACCCTCAAAGAATGCCAGCGTAAACCATCACCTTGCAAACTTGATGTTTGCTACAACCATTTTTCATTGCTGTGATGTTTTCTTTTCTTTCCTCTTTGTAATGTCAAGCAATAGCAGGGAAGAACAAAATGCACTTTTTAGTAGTCCAAACTTCAGATGAGACTGTTTAGTTTAATGAAGTTCATGAACAAGCAATGCAGTGATCAGACACCTTTAAAACTAAAATCTAAACACATTTTGCAAGCAAAGCGCAGCTGTTTCTGTATATACCAGCAGGAAACAATAGAAAACTGAACAGTACTCTACAGTAGGTGGTTCATAATTGCTGTATGGCTTCATATTTTGGACTTCCCACCACAGTGCTGCAGCTTAACGCTGCTCTCCCTGAAGACATAGCTGACATTTTCCAAGGTCTCGCTTTCAAGCTCTTCCTTGATAAGCGACGCCGACTTTGAGAGGAGCTAATCCCATTCCCGGGAATCTACTTTTTCTGAGAACGTCAGCAAACTAGTCAACTGTAATCTATAGTTACACAAACCCGGAAAAAGAAAAATCTCAAAGCTGACATGACGTCTACCAGTAAATAGAACGGTACAAGTTCTCTGTTCATCAAAGTCACATCAAACAGCAGAACTGTGTTAGAACTTGAAAAAGCATTTGAAAAACCCATCCATCTTTACTGTGCAATGTAAAGTACAGAATGTTTCAGTCATCTATTCCCACTTAAAATCATGCCCCACCATTTCATAGAATTTGACATTATAAGGTCTATAAAAGTCTCGCAGTTGCTCAATTGCATCTCTGTCTATCTGTACGTGAGTTCTGCCTTTTGACTTGCCCAGGCAGCGGGGAGAGCCGCTGCTCTCCGGCTTCTTAAGGCAAGGGAAGCCCTTGGTGCGGTTGAAATAAAAGTGTTTGTCGGTGACGATGCGCTTTAACCCAAGGAAGTCCTGCACCCGGGCCAACTCACCAGCCGGGTCTGTGATGAGCCGCTCGCCGCTCACAAAGTGGATCTGAGTCAAAGGGAAGTAGCGAAGCCAGTTTTCCAGGTGCAAGGCGTACAGGCCGATCCGAATGGCGTTCCAGGACATGTCCACCATGCCCAGGCTCTGGTTTCTGAAGGCCAGCTCCTGAAAGCTCGGCAGGTCGGGGGTTTTGGATAAAGTCTGAGTGTAATCTGATATCGCTCGGGTGACGGGGTCACGCACCACCACGATGAGCTTGGTATCTTGGGACATAGCAGAGATCCGGCGGGGAGTCTCTTTGGTCACAAAGTAGCTCGGTGTCTTCTCCATCGTGATTTGGCTTTCAAGGGTCCTTGGCATTAAACTTCTGAATGAAAGATGAAAACAGAAGGTAAAAGTTTGAGCGTCATTTATACCTCATTCTTTCTGTTAAGAGTTATGTAAAGGGTAGAAAATTCAGACTTGGGGAACACAACGTCCTTGGATTTACTCTGTCATGGGTAAAAAGTGTATACAAGATCTAACGAGGGCAAGTTTACACAGGAGAACTGCAAAGGCATAAAACCACCCTTACTGAACTCCTATTTGGCCAAAAACCCAGTTTTCCAATGTAAATGAAGATGAGACACAGCGGTCTGTCGTCACTGGAGACTTGCGTTGCTGACAGCTTTCCTGTGCATCAGACCTGCTCTGTTCAACAGCAATAAATCACCAGGAATGCAAACAGAACATAAATATAGCAGTTACACCGTTAGGGTTACTTCTGGGTCTTCAAACTAGGACACTGGGAGGTTTGAGAGAAGGGGTTTAAACAGGTAAATATTCACAGAGAAAAAGTTTGTTCTTTGATGGTGTTCACAAGCATGAAACTTCATTGAAGCACACATTCCTGGGGACAATTTAGCCACTGGTTAATGTAACCTGTCTTTTTGGATGATGGGAGTAACCTTGAGCGTGGGAACATACAAACTCCACACAAGGATTTGAACCAGAAACCCTACATGACCAAGCAGCAGTTGGTGATACACCACCGTTGTTAAGACGGTGGTGTATCACCCCTAAACTAAAGCTGTAAAGCTTTGCGGGGTATAAGTCAACGGAACAATACGATGGCTCTAAACAGCAGAAAATGAAGGCGAGTCGTGCTTAATTTTCCCTGGAACTCCCAAATCATTTTCTGTGTTTACTTACCTTTATAATTGCTTTAATATGTTTGTTATAGGATGCCTGGCCCAGCATTTCTATCTTAACTTGCTTGTCAGGTTCATGACAGGAAACTCCAGTTTTCTTCAGATATTGCATGAACTGAAACAAAGTCAACTCTGTTACAGGTCCGGAAGGAGACTGGGCCAAACAACAATTTGGACTTTACTGACAACGCAGCTCTTTTATTTGAAAAGCGATCCTAATTTGACCTTTCAACAGTTTTGACAGCTGACAGTCAAACCGTGGTAATGGACCAGGGTTCACATCTCAAAGAGACATCTCTGAGATAAAAGGGCTTCAGCTGCCAACTATCCTGAAGAGAGCCAATTAGCTGAGATTCTTTTAGTCTATAATTATTTTGCACACATACCCCCAGCAGGCATCATGACAGTCAATCATTAACATGCAATGTAATTGGAGTTAGATATGTGTGTGAGTGTTTGGTTGCCTGTTTGACCATTTGCATGCACAATTCTCCCCTTAACTTCACTCACATGTTCTTATTTGCATAAACAGTTTAACTAAACTAAACTAATAACTAAAGTGTTTGTGTAAAGTATGGGAATATCACTGGCAAATAAAGCAACTGCTTAGGGATAAACTGTTAATTTGCAACATGCTGCGTTGTGAAAAATCAAAGTTTGTCTGTTTTCAACAGATCTCAAACAATCAATCAGGTAAGGCTTTTTTCCTTCAGAGGTGGGATATGAAGATAAAGAAGCTTAACTATGGAACAGAAATTAATCTGGTTAATTTCTGTCGTGTTTATTCCTCTCAAGTTTTTTAAATTAGACCAATTTCCAAAGTTATTTTAATGATTAAAGACTCTGATACACCTATAGGATGCTTAGCCGCTTCAAAACATTACTCACACAGAAAGATGGTCGGGGATTAAAAGACAGTGATGTATGGGGATGTGAAGCGAGGTACTGGGATGCTACAGGTCAAATCTATGCTGAGGCTACTGAGAGAATAAATGACATATAAAATGATAATGATTGATACTTCCAACTGAGAAACAAACTTCATCATCAACTGTGTGGAGTGTGCATTATACTGTATTTTTGGTGAAAACATGCCTTAACTGGAAAATTGCAAACCAAGACTGTCTAATGAAACAGCCAGCTGGATCAGCACAGTTTTAGAAAATGCAAAACTTTGACAAATTCTAATCAATAGATGCTCAAACTCATATAATTTGAATGAACCTGTCTCTTGGGCATAAATATGAAACGGTTAGCAGCAAGCATTTCTAAAGAAGACTAGCAACCCTTTGAAATGGCCTGAAAAGAGAACCAGTTATTTCATATCACTAGTTCCTTTTAAGAGTGTTGTTTTATCATTATCTTTTCATTCAAATGCAGCGAAAGGTCAAAGAAATCAGTGCATTTACTGTAAGGTTATTTGTCATCGTTCTGTGAATTTCAGCCCTTCAGCTTCAGGCATGCACAGGATTTCCTTTGCCAGCCTCGGTGTACCAGCTTCTGAAAGGGACACGCTAATGCCTGTATAAGCCAGCAGCTGATGTGGTTGACTGTTGTGAGTTGTGCCTTTTCATTTCCCCCAGCAGGCCCATCAGTTACCAGGGCCAGATTGCCATTGACCAGATAGATGTCAGCAAACTGCCTTTGTGTGTCTGAATTTTTTTCATTGCCTTTCACTCAGATGTAGGAAATTGGAGATTGACACAATTTAATATCAATGACTTGATTAAATTCAGACTCTAAAGTTCCTAACTTGTTAAGATTTTTAAAATCGATACATTTTGTTGGATAAAAACATAACTAATAGACTCATGAGCATTGAAGTGAAAAGGTTTATCAATGCATAAAAACTTATATATCAAGTGTTTGTTTAGGGATTTTTATTCTCATACATTATGTTCATTTATAAAACCTGGATTTTGTAGTTCAGTGACCACAGAAATGGAATCAAAGATTCATGATTACACAAACGTCTCCCGTAGGCTCGTATTGTAAACTATATTACCAGAACTTCCTTAAATTTCAAGTCCCCAAATTGTGCTGAAACATGTACAACTGGACAATTCTATAGGCCAAAACTTGGTCTGTAGTCCCAGGTGTTTTAGGTTTACAGTATTTCCATGAGTTTTATCTGTGTCCTTTACTTAAAAGTGTTGATATTTTAAGGCTTTTCTGAAAATTTTACAGGAAGCACAGGTACTGAAGCATCAGTATAGAATTGCTGACAGTGCTGACCCTCTGATTTAGTGAAACTCATCACACATCAGCTATCCAAAGAGAAGTGAAAACATTTTTGCATCCTTCCTAATATTACTTCCTAAAAGGAGAGAAAATTAAATCAAGAAAAGACTTGTATAACCTTTAAATCAGTCATGTGTGAATTGAGATAATAAAAAGCCTATTCCAGGGTCACGAAATGAAAATTAAAAATCTGAGCTGAGGGACCTGGATTCATCTGTGATTCATGGGGAAAGAATTAAATAAGCCATGTTCTTACCTGTACCACTCAAGGCCTCGATCGTAATTCCTGTCAAAGAAGTGCGTTTCGGTTCCAGCCGCTCGCACATCCGGATGAATTCTTATGAACTCCAGAACAGCTCTCGTTCCTCCTTTCTTCACACCGACTATGATCGCCTTCGGTAACTTTTTATGACCAAACTTTAAATGACTCATGGGAGGACTGGGCGTGTCATTCCTGACGACCTGAGGGGTTGAAGGACGCCTTTGGTTGGATTTGTGCCGCGGTGCTCTGTCCACCCTGCTCGGGTTGGCGTCTGCTGGTAAAAGACAGGAGATGGACTTCTGGAGACGCCGCTTGGGTCCGTCGGCTCGCTGACAGCTGGTGGCCACATCACCGGGCTTCTGCATGACGGTTCCGCTGGGGAATATCGCACAGTAGCACAAATAGGAGAGAAACAGAGAGAGCAGGCAAATGGACGTCCCCGTGAGCCGATGTGAGAAGGGGAAAAGTCGACAGAAGAGGAGCACGCATGCCATCTCTCCATAGACATGGACCGCGCATGGTTTTCTTACAGATATTTGCGTCTCTAGCGTGTTTTGTTTGGTCGCTCCTGTGGCCGTGGTGTCCACTTGGATCAGGGGACGAATCAGTAAAGTTGAGGAGTCAACTGTTCCATCTCCTCACCACGCAGCGTTTTTAGACAATCCACGAACCCATCGCTTCAGTTCACCTGGAGAGTGTCAGGCTTGCTGTGCACCGGTTCCAGTCTTTAAACTCCGGGAGGTATCTGCAGTCTTTACGCACGGCGGGCAGGAGCGGAGTGCGCGCTCTGGCAACTTGAGCGGACTGTCAGCTCCAAAGCAGCAGAGGACAGAAAAAAACATTGGAACATAATGACGTCAGAGTACCCCTGACTTACAAAGATAAAAAAAAATGTTTTCTCAACTCAGCCGTTGCTCAAATGGGTCTTTGGACACATATTCTGTGCTTAAGTGTTGGACATTTTTGTGCCACAATATTTCTAAACATATCCACAGTTGAAATTGAGGAAAACCTGAAGCATTGTGGTGGTATTTCTAATCCATTTGCAGAAAACAATACAAGAAAGAACTTTATAAACAAAGTCTGTTCATAAACATGCTAAATTCCTGACCCTGCAGAGATGCTTGGCTCTGCACTGTTAAGGCTTTACCACTACCAAGAAACCAGACCTTACTGGTTAAAAATGTGAAGTGTATCTTCACATATTTATGTATATGTATGTATTGTGTATGTATGTATGCCAAAATGTTGACTATCAGAAACAAATGAGCTCTTCATGACTCTGGGACAGTTACCCACTTTATCCCAGATCTTGTTTGTCATCACTTTGCTCTAAGTAAAGGAAGTGTTGGATGTCGGTGTGTGGTCTTCCCTCTGAGTTTCCTGATCAATGATACAAATACAGGCAAGACCACGGTGGAAAACAGAAGAGGATAAAAACTCCCCGGGCTGCAGAGATGCGTGGGGAGGAGTTGAGATGTCACAGTGGTGCTCCTGCGGGTGTCTGGGCCCAATCTCATGGGGCTCTGATTAAAGAATGATTTATAGGGGCTGGTCGGAAGTACCTGCTCAGCAATCCGTCTAGTGAATGAGATTTTTCCTCAGGAAGAGGGCGGGTAAATCAAACCTTGGGGCGAGAAGCCTGCAAAGCTCAGCGATAGGGCCCGGTGATTAAATGTTATAATCGTCCGTCTCTGCTGAGCGCAGCTCTGCTTTTCAGTGTAACTATCAAAAATACTAAAATCACTTTACCCCCCCCCACTCCCATTCAACAATGCTTGTCCTACGTCTGCTTATGACAGGATCTTAACTCTGTCAACCCACTGCACATAATGTACGACCCAGTTCAGAGGAACATTTCTGCTGAAGAAAGACCTCAAATGTGTCCATTTTGGAAGCATCTCTGAAAAATTACTAGTACTTTTGAAGTTTAGAATTAAGTGAAAAAGGTTGGTTGACAAGCCACGAACATCATGATCAAACGTTCAGCCTGACTGCGAATGACCAACACATTTTTCATTTTGCGGGCTGTCTTTCGGAGTTCTCTAAATATAGGTCATTTACCCTCTGACCACTCCATCAGAAGTGGTGCCCATTTGTCAGACTAAGAGCAGACTGCCAGGGGGAGTGTCGGCCTGTCTTAGCTCTGATCAGATACTGAGAAGAAATAGAGATGATCACACACTTTTTCATATTACAGATGAATCACAAATTACTCCCACAGATTCAGCCTCTTAGGGTAAAAAAATCACAAATAAACATATATGGTGCCGTTTTTTATGAAAATGAACACGCAATTGAGGTGTTGCAGGATTTGCATGATCATATTTTAAAACTTCCCTAAAAATTTGACAGGAAGCAAAAACAGTGTGTGAATGTGAATTGCCACCTCATTTTGTGACACTTATCACACATATAAGCTATAAAAAGACAGATAAGAATATTTTTGTGTCCTGATATTCTAATCTTTCTTACAATGAACCAAAAAGAAATTAAGTAGAGACTAGTATAATTTTAAATCGATCATATGTGAATTGAAATCAGGAAAAAGCTATTACTCTTTCACTATCAGATACATATGTATCATGGGGGATGTAGTGGTGCCCATTGGAGTATATTTAATTTGTTTCAAGTGCCCTGTCCAGCGAAGAACAACTGCCTTGTGGCTAAAACAGTTAACGGTGTAAGTTTTCTCCTATGAACAAAATTGTATTTCAACGATGGAGAAAGTATATGAAATTAATGCCTCTTCTTAAACAACCCATCCACTGAGAAGGAAAACTCTACTGGAAATGACAGCCAGAGAGCAGAGGATCAGGTTTTTACTGCCATGAGAATAAATCCTGAGATGCACACAGCTGAATCTGATCCACCCTATATGATGACAAAAATTGGAATTACAATGTAGATTTCATAAAGCAAGCACAGGCTGTAGGTCCAGCGCCTGCCAACATCAACACAATGCTTCCCTCTGGTGGTTAGATCACAGTAACCCAGCCTCACCGCACCACGTCATAATAGACTAAAAGTGAAAGCAAAAGCTGGCCACCTACGCCTGCACTCCACAGACTGAAGACAGAGACCAACACACCGACAATAACAGTAAGTTTCATTTACCTATAAAAGCACTGCCGCTTCAAAAACATCTTTCTATTGATCGTGTTTAAAAGCAGATTAAGGCCTTCAGTCTTCAGTCCTTCTCTGAACATCCTGTTCTGAACATTATTATTTGCTGTACTGAGCCCTGTAAAGTCAGAGGTGCAGTTTTTTTCCCGTTTGAAATGTTTTGAGTATTTGACAACCTGATTTGGTTGTGAATCTGAGGGGATATGGACCTCTCTAAAAATAGGCTACTGTTTAAGCTCCCTGACTGTAGAAAGCTGGGCGCTGAATATGTTTGGAAGAGGCCTCTTGATTTGGTGCTCATGTCTCTAGGCCTCGTTTCAATGCACCAGGATACTCCAGACAAAATGTCTGATGTTATAGAGGTGATCACCCTCATTGATGATCAGTTCATTGTGTGTATTTCATACCAGCAGCAGGCTTCTGTTTGTTCATCCTGAGACAGGTGCCATGTCTTCCTCTGAACCTGAAAAAACTCGAGCAGGTATGACAAAAGAACAAATGGGCGGTTATGGGAAAATGTTTACATTCAGGCCACTGACACTACTTGTTTTTAATGAATGGATCAATTAATGGTGTATTGAAAATAAAAGCAAAACAAATTAAACAAAGTGAAGGCAACATTTTGGCATAGTCTTTGTATTCTCAACATTCTTGTAGGCATATGGACAGTTAATGTTATCATACAATATGGATTAATTTACACCTTTTTAAATCGTTAAGAGTGAATGTGGTGATAGGTTGGTCAAGCACCAACATATTTAGTCAGAATAGAATAAAATAGAAAGTATGTGACTTTAACAAAGTGATAAACTTTAAGGTTTCGGTTGAGTAGGTCGAACATTCTTCATCTTTTCCCTTTTATTTATCAGGAAAGAAGGTGAAAATTTTCTCATACGTTGTGGGAAATACCCATGATTCTCACAAAAAGTTTCTCAAAAAACTCCGGAAAAGTGGTGCCAAAGTAGTGCTTGAACAAGCTAAGAGCAGTGCGGTCATTGTCTTCTGTCCAATCGTCAGTCGTTTTACTACAGATGTTGAGTCAGCGCTTTCTGGTATCTCAGGTAAGCACGCAGTAACTCACATGCCATAGAGACATGGAGAAACAAAAAGCTATGTTTGTTCTCTCTTTTGCAAACTTTGATTCTTGCTGTCCATTTTAAGGAAATCCCAAAATTATTCTGGTGGCGATGCATCATACCTATGACCCAAACTACACTCTACCAGACCACAGAAACGTTGACAACTGTCATGTTGTCAAAGTCGTGGAATGTCTGTTTTTTGAGAAAAAGGGACTTTTAAAATGCTCTCGCAATAAAAGGGCAGTGAAATTGGTCTGTGAACAGGTAATCACACACATTTAGCTTTCTTTTCATAGTATACGTTACAGTTTGTTTTTATGGTGCATGTTGCCATTTGTGAAACATCAATGTTTACCACAATAATGAAACAGAGATTACATTTACCTTTTCCTTTTTCTTTTTCAGCTGGGTCTTCGGAACAAAATTCTGACCTTTAAAGGGAAAGATAAAGCGGTCTAAGGACTGGTCTGGAGGTAAAACACATGCAGTCGTGATTCATCTTTTTCATTTATAGTGGTTCCATGGACAAAATTCAGATCACTTACTGGATGTCACTAGGAAAGATTAGATAATTTGGAAACAATCAAATGAACATAAGAGCACTTATGATCAAAAGAAGCAAACTTAGACTGGACCTTTAGACTAAAAGTCTTTTATCTTACAACATAATCCATGAAGAACAATTCTGAGCTCTTGAGGAGCCACTTTTCCAGACCTTATATATTTAAAGTTCCTAATACAACAAAAAATTAACATCAATAATTGATTAAAGCATGCGAGTAATATTTCTTTGTCCAAACAACACGATAAATACAGTTATTCCAATTGCTCCCACACTGAGCTGTGATAGAGTTCCCCACATCCTGTCAGCAAGTGTGGGGCTTTGGTTGGTTTGCTAAAAGGAGCGGGACACATTCACACATGTTGATTAATAATGTATTCAAATGAATAACTTAATCTGAATGTGTGAGTTCAGTGTGCTTCACCGTTTCGTGATAATCCCAAGGGTAGTGCACAACAGTTGTTGACCACCTCTAAAAAAAACAATTGCCCTGGAAAGACGTTTTGGTGGAATTCAGGGAGCAGAGTTTAAGGTGTTACGATTAATGCGCCACGATCAACCCCTAAACTTCGGAGGACACAGGGTGCACATATAAATCTCAGGTGTGTTTCGCAAACACCTAAGAAATCACTCTGTAACTCAATTTGTTTGTATGGATGTTTAATTTAATCTGGAATTATTTTTCCTTTAAAACATTTTTTTAAATGAAATATTTGGTGTGCTTTTACTGTGGAAGATAATGTGTTTTGTTGCTTTATTTGATGTAATGTCACTATACCATGACACTTCTATAAAGTCAAACAGAATGTGGGCTTGGAAAATAAAGCTAACTTGCGAATGTAGTGTTCCTGTGGTCTCTTTCTCTGAACTCAGTTCTTGATTTTTCTGTCCAGTATTAATCATTCACCTCAAATAGTTTACATTATCAGCTAAATATGATGTTATCCGCATGTATTAATGGCTTAAAAGTGGCGCTGCAAAGTCGAAGCTCCCGCGGTTACATTGATTTTATTCTCATCTGTCTGGTGCTCACTATTTCAGAGGCTACACCAGCCGGCATTGGGTGAGACACAGGGTAGAACCTGTACAGGTTACCAGTCCTTTACCCAGAGACATACAGCCCAACATACTCACATTTGCTTCTGTGGGTAATTTGGAATAATCAGCTGACCCGGTATGCATGTTTTTTTGGACTGCGGGTGAGACCCAGAGAGAACCCACGCATACACGGGGAGAACATGCAAACTCCACACAAAAAGGGGATCCGAGCCGGGAACCCCCCCCCCCCCCCCCCCACACCATCATGCAGCCCTGTAGACAAACATGTTTGTGTGAAATTGGAAAATCCAGAACTGGTCGGACTAGTTAAGACTAGTTAAAAAACATACAAAGTTGCAGGTAAACTGTTAGAAGAATTCAAATTCACCCAAATGATCAATTATTTTGTTGTTGTTGTGTCATTCATTTATGGTTGTAATGAATTGCAATATTAGTACAAATTTTCTGGAAAACATGTCTTTTTCAATCAAAATCAAATCACATACTTGCACTTCCCTCAATTTCTCACAAGATGGCAGTTAAATATAAAACCTTCTGTGTGTTGATCACAGGGCTCCCTTCAGTTGGCCTAACAGTACAAAAACAGGTAAAGACAAACTTGACATAATATTAGCTGCAAAGCCAAGAAGAAAAAAACATTTTTTCATATTATCTTTAAACTCTTTGGAAGTCCAATGCCAAACTGCATACTACCAAAATATATATTAGAATCTCATGTTAAGTTTTAATTTTGGCTTTGAATCTGTCTAACAATCACAAGTCAAACTAAAATCATTCAAATAAAAGTTAAAGAGGGAACAAGCTAAGTTCAACTTTAGACTTTTTGAAGAGAATGGCATGCATTGTTTTGTATTCAGTGTGTGTCCTTGATGCCTCCATCTGCATACGCACTGGAAACACTGTTATGCCGACAGACGCATACACATGCAGGCATCAAATTCACATCATCATATGCACAAACACAAAGTATATAAACCAAAAGTGAGTTCTCACAGACAGGAAATGATGTCAGCTCTTGTCTCCAAGGAGATGGAGGCAGTTGCTAAGATACTGTGACACTAGGATTTTTCACTCTATTTTCTCTGCCTCTAACTCACACATGCACGCACGCACACACACACACACCACACACACACACACACACAGATGTCACCATGAATAAGTCGAAACTCTCTCCTGTATCTCTCTTATTCTTTTGCACAGATGGCAATGAGCACTAACTCAACTTTTTCAGTTGCAACCCTAAATATAGCGACCAAAAAAAATGCCACTTTGTTCTCGATCCCAGTTGGGTTGGTTGGGGCTGTTGAAGAGATCACTGAGGCTTTCTTTCACCTAAAGAGCGACCGCTTAAAAAATGAACGACATTTGTATTCTTTTAACTACGTGCAATCCCTTAGTCTCCCACTTCCAAAGTGGGCTGAAGAAGCAACAGAAGTGATGGATGTGTATCAGCACCCATCCAAGGATTCTACTCAGTGTGAGCTGAACCTCTCTAGTGCTATCAGCATGCCACATATGTCTTGTTGCTAGCATGTTGCTGCCAAATCCTCATCTCCCTCCCTTTTCTCCTCCCCTGTGGCTTCTAACATAGCATTAAGAGTTTCGCAGGGTTTGGGTTGTATTGGAAATGCCATGCGCTTTCCCCTCAGATTGTGGAATTAGCTCTCGCAGTTATTTTTCCACTCTAAGAGTCTTTCTGTACTGATGACACAAGCAGTACAGCAATGAGTGTTTGTTCATTTACTGTGCACAAATGTATGTCCTTCTCGCTCGCTCCTCTCGCTCGCTCTCGCAGACACACACAAGCTCAAGGGTGCCGGCGCACACACACACACACACACACACACACACGCACACACGCGTGGCATGCGCGCATAAGGGGAATATCAGATTCAATGCACAATGACACAGTGAGGACACGGAGTGGAGAGAGGGGAAGGAGGGCGAGCACAGGCACATGGCTAAACCACGGCACGGGCAGTGTGGAATCATTTTTAAGGCAGACAGCTACACAGGGAGGTGTCATGAGTAGCAAAAAAAGCGCTGAAAGGCAGCCAGGGTTGAATGAGGGACTGGATGTAGGTTAAGGATTTTAACATGACTGAGAGGGAATGAGGGACGAGGGGGGGGGGAAGAAGGAAAGGAGGAATATCCTCTGCACCACTGTGTGACTGGAAATTTAATAGAAGGGGAGAGATAGAGGGAGGAAGAGAGGAAAGGAGCAAGAGGTCGATGGGTGGGAGAGAGGGAGCCTGGGGAGGGGGAGGGGAGAGGAGGAGAGAGGCAAAAGGCACAGAGACCTCATTGCTGTGCAGCTTTCAGCAAAAGCTAGTGGACGCGAACAATGCTCACTACGGCATTCACGGAGAGGGAGGGGACTAGCAAGGGAGAGCATGAAGGAAGAGACGGAGAGGAAAAGAGAGAGAGAGTATATATCTTGGGGGTCTTTCTGAAGCATCACGGGCCCTTCTGGTCCTTTGACCTTTTCTGTGGGCTGAGGCAGAGCAAAATATTCCAAGACTTATTTTTACAAAATTGGCATTGGATGAAAAACTATAAAAAGCTTTTAATCCATCTCCTTACATGGGTGTTGACTCTACAGGGGACAGTGATGTTATCCAGATGTAAGGATCCATGTAAAAGTACATATGGGACAGATCAATATAGGGTGGCCATTTACTGTTCTGACAGTGGCATCTCTTCACGGACTAAAGCCTTTATTGGCTCATAACTTGCGGGCAGTCTTTTCACTAATTAAAACATGCAGCAAGCCCAGAAGCCTCTGAATAACGCTCACCAATTCCATCCATCCCTGTTCTGAAAAGCTCAGAAACACTGGGCTTTGTGTAAGACACTCTGGGCAGCACACTTGTCTTTCTCCCCGTCTATGCTGGCTTTATTATTTACAGCTTTAAATCCACCACAGGAGGAAAACTAGATACATGCAAAGTCTGCAGAAAACAGACCCCATTAGCCTGCAAGATTTAATCTTAGCTGGCTCTTACCATGCATGTCAGAGCGTTATTATGAATGTAGGCATACACAAATGGCCTACAATACTCTTCAAGACCAAGAAATGATGCTTACTGCAGATGGCACAGAGCAAAACAGATACCCACTGGAAATCTGGCTCGAGTGCTACCGAAATCCCTTTATCTAAAGAAAACACACTGACTGCAGTCTGTGATGATGATTATTCAGAGCTGCTGAGTCATATTAATAAATAGGCCTGCTTGACGAAACATAGCTGCTTATCACATAGTTTATATTGCGCCACTGATAGGAGACAAAATCCTGAGAGGTAAAGAATATATCTCTTTATTTTGGTTGTAACCGGCTGTAAATGCTGCACTGCATTTGTACTTTGTTAGGGCATCCTGAGAACGCAGTTGTATATTCTCCCAATCGTGTCTTGTTGGGATTCAGTCTGGAACATACGGAATGTGCGTAAAGAGGCGCTTATGCTGGACGCAAACTGCTCTGCCCAGCGGGCGACGTCGCGTTTGCTGCGTTCCTCTCCGAGGATAAGGCGCATCGATGCTCTCGTCCCCAACCCATTTCCCCCTCAGTGTGACAGTTCTACCGTCGATTTTCCAACCGCCCGACGTCTGATCTGGGTTTTTTTTTTATCCATTCCGCGTAAGTGTGTGGATTGTATTCATCTTTAAGCAGCCAGCGCCGTAGCTCCCCGCGCTGCTTTGCGTTGGCGCTGCGGACCTAGCCTACGAGAACAAGAGCCAGCTTCCAGCCGTGGAAACAAGTGAATCAATTTAGGGAAGAGAAAACGGAGAGACGGGGGAGAAAAAATCGGAGAGGGTCGAAGGGAGACAGAACATTAGGAGACATTACGCCGCAGCCGACGGAACATTAAGGTATGTAGAAGCAACATAGTGGATGGACATGTAAGGGACTGAAATGGCCGGCGTAATTGTGGCATTTGTCCCTTAATCTGGACTGATGATGCCAGCTCAATCACGAGATGAAAATGATTAAGCAATTAAACGTGCAAAGGTTGCAAATATGCATAAGGATGTAGGAGATTGATAAATATGGGCTTTGTCTGAAGTCCAAGTGAATGTATCATTTGATTTCTTATGTAAGCATATATACTTCATCACTTTGCCAATTCTTTTAAAGATATTGAGTCTGTGGATTGTGTCCGAGTGCTGTCGTGTTGGCATTACCCCGAAGTAAGAATGGATGCAAGCCATTTTGTAATGCAGCATGTGGAGAATTAGGCCTATTCAGAATTTCAATTGCGTTCCCGAGAAGGTGCGCCGTAGTGAGCGCAGCTGCACAGATGAATAAGGCCATTCTGTTTTGTAGGAGATATTAAATCGGAGGATATGTGATGAGACCAGATTGCAGATTACAGATTGCGACTACAAGAGAAAATGGTGAGGTTGTTGCTTTTGTGTTTGCATGTTGGAAGGGGCTTTGGGGGTTTGGGGGTTGGGGGGGTTGGGTGGCGGGGGGGTGATCATCAGTTGAAAAAGTGAAATATGAAAATTATTTGTCATCGACTGAAACGATTTGGCACGATGCTTCATTATCTTCCAAACAGTGCTGCATGGTACTATACTGCTCAAATGCATCCAATCCCACCCTGATTCCCACGTCCTGAATCAATCTAGTGTTGTCATAGTTACAGTAGATGATGTTGGCCCTGCTGCACCTGTGCAGCTTTGTGTTCTTCTGGATCATTTGTAAATACATTTTATTTTGCTTTGTTTTGGCGTAAAGGGGAACAGCCCCGGCCTCTGTGTTTATGGGAAATGACACAGATTTAGGTTCTTCATAAAACTTAAGGACTCTGTTGTGGAGAAAGGGACATTGATGCAATCAGGCGCTTACGATGATGTGATTGGTTTGTAGCAATTGGTCAGCATCTTGCAGCTAATTTGTCTTTTCACGATTGAGCGGTCTCTCGGGCCCGATCGAATAATCAATATCTACATGGTTGCAATCTACGTTTGACATGAAAAAAACAGCAAAGATCAAGAAAGAGAAATAGAATTGAGTGAAACTGCTCAGAAAAATACACTTTATAAGATGCTTTAAACACATCATAAACCCCTTGGAAAACACAAGGAGGAGGAAGAGGGCCATCGGCGAGAGAGTTGCTCCTCAGATGAGTCAAGGTGTGATAATCTAAAAATAAGGCTCACGGTTTGTCTGCTGTTGTTCTAGAGCTATTATGTGTGAAGGATTTGAAGATGGGAGGTCAAGTGAACAGACATTAAGCGGTTGAATTTCATCCAGAATAGAGCTTTACACTGGCAGGTTATATTCTTTCAATGCAAAGGAAAAAGGTATGGCTCAATTAAATGGTCTTATCAGACTGCCTTTTAACATTTAGATCACACATTGGGGATGATGGAAGATAGAAAACCGTCGTAAGAAAATGAAAACAACAGCTATTTTGTAGTGTTCGCTATCAGAATTAATATTTTTGAAATCAACTGTTGCACACACACCACACACACACACATAACTCCATGTGCTTATATTTTGTAAAAAGTACACATGGAGGAATTTTGGAACAGGATTACAGTTCCATTTGAAAGCATATAAAAAAGATCCAAAACACTGCAATCACTCTTTCATAATGAAATACTAGGACATAAGATTAAAAAAAAAAAAAATCTTAAGGGCACTGGTGTGGAATATTAATCATGTTTTCATGCTTCCATTATCTATCAAACCACCTTTCCAGAACGGATACGGTGTCTAAGGAAGCCATTGAAACATTTTTTCCAAGTCAGTCAAATAATCCAAATGCATAATTACTTGCTGCATATGGATACATAGGAACAAGAGTGTAAAGAACACCTTAACAAAATGTCCTGCAATGTAGAAACACACACAGTGAGAGTTAGGCTTATGATTTGTCCCTAGAAATACACACGTGTTATGTTTGTGGCAGCTACGGTTTAGCTGATCATAGACAAGACACACACACGTTTCCTTGAGTGTGTGTCCAAGAGACAAGGAAATGATTTGGGATGTGCTGAGCATTAAAAAAAATCTATTTTTAGCATGCATTCCTTTATGAGATTTCTTACTAGCGGCTTTGCCAGATCACAGAACGATGTTTTCAATGACAACTGATTTGAATCTAATATGAAAACCTTGTAGACAGAGTTTCACATTAGATTTAAATTCTATGATATTTGCTAAGTTAAAAGCATCATGGTCACTTAATTATGGTATTTAGATGTTTGATTTGAAACATTTCTTAGGAACAAAGGATGTCGTGGAAATGGATGTTTATCTTCATGTTAATAGTTTTTTAGACTACATAGGTGCTGCTGTTCTCTGTTTTGAACAGCAAATGTTCATCAAGCACAGCTAAACACAGTAATGTGGAATAGGGCACTGGACAGTAAAAACACAAGATGGTGAGTGAGCAGGTTACCACAGCAACTGTGTTCCTAGGAGCAAATGCATCGTCGCCGCATAGGAAAGCAGATGCTGAGTGCTGTTATAGAAGCTTTAAAATAAATAACCACTTTATCATAGAAATTAGGTTTAAGCAAGAGTTATTTCAAGTGATATTCTGACAACGGTAAGATAACAAAAATAAACAAAGATCTCCTTAATAATTTTTTCACAGACGTCACAGACTTGTGACCACTTAAGTCACAATATCAAGCATCAAGAAGGTGTTAAACAATGCAGACTTTCTCTTTCAGATCATTATAAGACTACAGCCCAAGGACTTCTAAATTTAGAGAGTCTGCTGATGATTGCAGCCCTATCTGTTTCAAAAGATTTTTTCACTCTTGTTTAATGATGCCTCACTCACCATGTCAGGAATTTGAATAACTTAAATCATAAGTGTGTATCAACATTTCCTTTAAAATGTTTTTTTTCTAATATATGTCTGAAGCATTTTTTATATATATATATGTGTATGTGTGTGTGTGTGTGTGTGTGTGTGTGTGTATTTATTGACATTGTGCTGCTTTCTCAATGATCAAATGCATAAGCTTAAGGTGTTGATGAAGCTGTAACGATTTCAGCAATTTGCATTCCTTACTTTTGCCTGACAGTGCTTGATCATAAGAATATTTGTCAATATTTGTCATCTCAATGGGTCTTTGAGGTATTTTGTACCTGACATGAATTTTTTTAACAAGATTCTTAGCCATTACAAATCATGATACTAATTGTAACATCAGATAATGAAGGAAAAGAAACCAGTGTCATCAGTTACAATATTAAGAAACAGCTTGTCAAAAATGTTCCAGTATTATGATTGCTTGTATGCATGGGTTAGCCTAATGTATCAGATGTACTGCACTGTGCACTTGTTCACTATATGTTTTCTTTTCTGTCTCCCTCTACAGTGAGAAGAACCGGACTCTGCAGGGACACGCTTCTACAAAAAACACCTCCCCATCATTTGGTTATGTATCATGGGAACAAAAGTTTAGGGCTCTCATTAATCAAATACCGAAAATAAATGAATGTACTTGATTGTTAAGTATGACCAAAGTCAAACTGTCTTTAATATAAAAAAATAAATCCCCTTTCTTTCATTTGTAAAAATAACTGCTCAACAGAGAAAAACAGTCAAGAGAATTAACTATGAAAATCAAGATAAGCACGTAAATATCTCCTGTTTGGAGGGGACTTATTAACATCATAGCAATAGGGGTGGGTCATGACTCAGTTGCCATGCGTGTTGTCATGGTGACTAGCCCCTCCACCCCTTCCCCCCTCTTCTGGTTGGTCCAGTTTTTGCTCTGGTTTCACAACCATGGACCTCAGCTGACAGAGGCAGCACCACCCTGCCCAACCCCCTGTACCTGCTCCAACCAGGCAAGCCGTGTCATCTGTACAAGGAAGAGGTTAGATCAGATCCCAGACAGTATTTCAGAGAACACAAGATACCTCAATCTACAAGAGAACTTAATTCAGGTAAATATGCTTTCTGCTACAAAACAAAGAAAAAGAGTATTTGGATTACTTTACTTTTTATGTTACTTAACTCTTCATTTGTTCTCCATTTCTTCTAATGTCCTCCTTATTAGGTGATCAAGTCTGATACATTTAAGCATCTGAGACATTTGGAAATTCTTCAGCTGTCCAAAAACCACATCCAGCAGATTGAGGTTGGAGCCTTCAATGGCCTTCCTAACCTAAATACATTGGAGCTTTTTGACAACAGTCTCACAGTGGTACCATCTCAAGCCTTTGAGTACCTCAGCAAGCTAAGGGAACTATGGCTACGAAACAACCCCATAGAGACGCTGCCAGCCTTTGCTTTTCACCGTGTTCCCTCTTTAAGACGACTTGATCTAGGGGAATTAAGGAAATTGGATTTCATCTCAGAAGCCGCCTTTGAAGGTCTGGTAAATTTACGATTTTTGAATCTTGGTATGTGTGGCTTGAAGGATATACCCAACCTCACTCCACTTGTGAGGTTAGAGGAGTTAGAGCTGTCTGGGAACCAGCTGGGGATTGTCCGACCTGGATCCTTTCAGGGTCTAGTGTCACTTCGCAAGCTGTGGCTCATGCACTCCAGAGTTTCAGTCATTGAACGCAATGCTTTTGATGACCTCAAGAATTTGGAGGAGCTCAATCTTTCTCACAATTCCCTGCATTCCCTGCCTCACGATCTCTTCACCCCTTTGCACCAGTTAGAGAGGGTACATCTCAACCATAACCCTTGGGTCTGTAACTGTGATGTTTTGTGGCTCAGCTGGTGGCTGAAAGAAACTGTTCCAAGCAACACCACCTGTTGTGCCCGTTGCCATGCCCCACCAGCTTTGAAGGGTAAATACATTGGAGAACTAGACCAGACCCACTTTACCTGCTTTGCCCCAGTAATTGTGGAGCCACCCACTGACCTCAATGTCACAGAGGGTATGGCGGCTGAGCTGAAATGTCGTACTGGAACCTCAATGACCTCTGTGAACTGGTTCACCCCAAATGGCACACTGATGACACATGGATCATACCGAGTCAGGATCTCAGTCCTTCATGACGGAACACTAAACTTCACAAATGTCACTGTTCAGGACACTGGACAATATACATGCATGGTTACCAACTCTGCTGGAAATACCACTGCAACTGCTGTACTGAATGTTTCTGCCTCTGACCCCAACAACGGCTACAGCTATTTCACAACAGTCACTGTAGAAACAGTCGAAACAGTAAGAGGAGAAGAGGAGAACTCCGCAAGACAGTATATAAATGAAACCCTCATAGAGTTCCCAAATCCTACTGTTCAGAAAGGGTTAGATGGTCGACCTGGCATAACTATTTCACCATCTCTGTCATCTCTTTCGTCACTGTCACCAAGAGCTAACAGAGCACCTGAAAATCCAGTGACTGTGTCTATAATGGATGTAACTAACATTCCAGGCCTTGACGATGTCATGAAAACAACTAAGATCATCATTGGTTGTTTTGTGGCCATCACTTTTATGGCAGCTGTAATGTTGGTGGTATTCTATAAACTTCGTAAGCAGCACCAACTACACAAGCATCATGGCCCAGCTAGAGCCATTGAAATAGTCAACGTAGAGGATGAGATCGGAGCTGGGGCTGGAAGTGGAATTTCAGGTGGATCAACAATGAATGCTGGTTCCGGTGGAGAAGGGACCCTAAGAATACATCATCCAGAAATTGTCAACCTTCCCAACATCGGCCGCACTGACACCCTCAACCATTACTATAAAACACATCATTTCAACAACAATGTGATGGGTCTTAGTATCGGTTCCGAAGGTATGGGACCAGGAGGGATCATCAGCAGCAAGAACCAGCATGGCCAGGATATTCCAATCTCGTGTACTTCAGTTCCAATCTCAACATCAAATTTGCTCACCTCATCAGGCAATGGCACCAACAACAACCCCAGCTCTATGTCCCCTCCACTACCAATGTCTCTCCCCATGCCCACCATGGGCTTACATGGATCGATCAAAGGTTTCATGGGACAAAACCAGAATCCTCAAATGGAGCCTCTTCTCTTTAAGGGGAGCTCAAAGGAAAACGTCCAAGAGACTCAGATCTAAAAACACAAGCGGGAGTAGAGGGAGGGTGAGCAAGAGTCAAAGACAGAGAGGGAATTGATGTTGGGTTTAAGTGCAGAATGATAAGACACTAGAGTGCATTGACATTACACCAGGAGAGAGGATAGACTGACACGGCAATACACAAACACATAGACTAATCTGTGAAGGTGTACTGAGCCAAGGATTACCACAATGGCCCACTTGTGTTTGTAGTAACGACCATGGCCATGGAGATCAAGGAGTGGACATTGCTACAATGTAAATCTGTGCCAAAGCAAATGTTTTTTGCAGTTTCTACAAGCTGTGTTCTCATAAAAAAAAGCCTTTCAGAGTAAATCAGTCCCCACTGTTGGCCAGCAGAGTTGAAAAGATACGCACAGCACTTACCACACGGAAGAGCCGAGACATCGCAGACTAAAATTCAAGAGACAGTTTTCTTCTACAAAGAAACATGAGACACAAGCTGTCTCAACTGACTCAATAGACTCCCTCAAGGTGAAAATTATGTAGGCATAAATAGATGGACAAAAAGGTACAGTGCAGTACAAACTACTGTGAAAAATCCACAAATTATATAAATATATTTTCATCTAAATATGTATCATTGCAGACTCCGATGCAGACATATTTTGGGATGGATGTATAAGCTGGTGTAGTTTGTTTCTTTGTGAATAATCAGGGGCGGTGATAGTGGAAGGTTTGTTATGATTTAAGTTTGGCTACTTCTCAGAAACATAAGGGCTCAATTGCAACACTCATTGTGAATCTTTCAATTGGATTTGTGACATAAAGTACATTTAGGTTGTAGACCAGTAAATGCAGACCTCTGTTTGACAAATTTTTGTCTGTTGTTTCAGTAATAATCATGAAAACTTTTGTGTTTTGAAAGTGTATTATGTATTTTGTAAAAGCCAGCTTCTTGGTATTTGGATTGACAATTCCGATACTTAAATGCCAGCATCAAACAATAGTAAAATGATGTTTCAACAAACATAAAAAGGTAATCTAATGCAAAGGCCTGTATGGGTAAAATAAAGTGTTGACAATGTGTTATTTGAATCCGATCAGTAGCCAGATATTTGCTTTTAGACAGAAATTTGATATGACCTCCTTGCTCATGGTTACCATAGTCATGCCATTAAATGCTGTCATGAGGATGATTAGACATCTGCAGCAGCATTAAAGAAGGGACAAACATCAATCTTTGGATGATTGGGATGAATGGAAATGTACAGTATATTAATAATAACGTCTGGTTGTATGAAAATTGTAAGATCCACATTTTTACAGTGTAACTTTCATATGTTAAATGCCATTTACGCTTCTTGCGTTACAACTATGTATTACTTTATTTTTGTTAGTTTGATATAATGTGTACAGTTGTCTAGCCATGTATCATTACGTGTGAAATAAATCAATCATATATTGGCTTGTGCTGGCTCAATATGGCAACCACACAAGTGAAAAGTGAGACATTATGCAGTTCTCTGTGTGCTAAACCTGGATTGAATGTATGGTTTGTGGTTTAGCCATTAGTCATTCTGGTAATGATAGGGGACTATCTGCTTTGTTAAGATGTTCAGACAGGCTTTTAGTCACGCTGCTATAGATGGGTTGTAGACACCACTGGTTCTGGAAAGTAAGGGTTTTTATGATCTTGGTCTTAGTCTTAATGAAGGCACTTAAGTCTGGAATTAGTCACTGTACCTGTGCCATGGTATGGATTTTTTACAGGTTTGGAAAAAGAAAAGATTAGCAACATGCCAAATATAATACATGGTTATGTTTATCCAACAGTAACCCAAAATGTTTGTTGCAATTGAGCTCAAATGGGACATACGACCACTTATTCCAGAGCTCTGTGAAGGATTTTGTAAGTTTGTTATTCTGTGCCCCTCCCACCGACAAAGTGGTTTTTGCAGGAGAATGTCATTGAAAATCGTATGATGGTTCTTGTCTATGTGATGAAGGTATTTTTTTAAATCCAAAAGGAGTCCATACTAACTGGGGAGCAGAAGAAAGAATATTGATAATGATGCAGATCATTTTCAGATGATTTCAGGCAAAATGCCAAGTTTTTTGCCATTGAGATTATAAAAGAAGAACAGTATATAGCAGTAGGCATTACCTCAAGCCTTTGTAATGCCTGATATCTGAACCCAGTTTAAAAGTACATCTAGTTCGATACACAAAACTACTTGTATATTAACTGTTTAAACAGTTTATGTTGTCAAAATGAATGCTGATAAGATTTGACGGTTATTTGAATTCAGAGTCATAGTAGATATAAATTTGTCACCTTACCAACAGATCTTGTGGGCAGGGTTCAACTGTTGTCCCATTGAGACACAGATAGAATATAAATGAGGGCTAAAGACACAACATATGGCCGCTCCCTTGATGTGCTACATTTGGTGGTTCTGTCGTCAGATTTCAAAGAGCATACTAGATACCTCTCTGTCTGGTTTTTGCATGTGTGTGTGAGCGTGTGTATGTGTGTGTGTGTTTGTATGTGTGCGTGTGTGTGTGGAGACAGAGGTCAAAGTCTTGCCTCTTAAACATGGGACAAATCCTCACCAGTACATTACATATAAGAGTATTATTATGACGATGACTCACATTTTAAGGACAGAAGAGATCCTTTAAACCTTTCGAACATCCGCGGAGATCGCTGTTATCATCATTATTATTGACAATTAGAGGAAATGCTGGAAGGCTTTGCTCCATCTTAGTATAGTGGCTGTCATTGTACATATATTTGATGCTACTGAGAGCAAAGGTTATTCTAAAAATTTGAAGAAATATGTGACCCCTTTTAATGGAGCTTGACTGGAACCTGAATATGTACATACTGGGCAATTCCATTGTGCAGATTGGCTACGGATGGAATACTGACATATGTGTACCCTTTGCATCGTCTGCCGCTTACAATGGATGCTTCAGTCCGGATGACATTTAGGGGTATGTTGGAAGCAACACTCCTTAATGAAATGGATTAAGGTATCTGAGACATCGAATTGAAAGACAAGGAAACGGACTGACCTTTTGGTCCTGTAAAGGTAAATTGTTCTGTTTGATAAAATGATATGAAAAACCTTGGTCTGCTTTGAACAATTTTTAAAAGGAAAGAGAACTCCAAAAGAGCTTAAAAAAACAACAAAAACAACAACAAAAAGAACTCATTTCTTTGACGCAAATCACATAAAAATGCCATGTTGTGGTTTTTCTTTAATTTCGTTTTTAAATTTCAAGTTGTTGGTTGTATCTTAATATGTGGTATCATAAGTTTAACTTTTTAGAGATTGTCATTAAATGTCCATCCCCCACTGCACATTCATTTAGGTTCACAATGTGGCAGAGGAGTGCTCTTCTTCAGTTTTAACTAAATCAAGATGTGTTGATCTTGCACTTCAATGACTGTCATACAGTGACTGAGAAAGTTGCTATTTTACTGTTTGCTTCTTGTAAGTTATTCTGCTATTTGAATCATATGCCACTTTCATTCTCTGTTGTGATTTCATCCCACAGAACACCACTACTAACTAAATAAGAAATGAGATAACAACTTAAACATGACAAATGATGTTTCAAATAAGTTATTGCGTGAAATTTTGTAATACAAAATGAAAAGGAGTCTTAAACAGAATTGTGTTTACCCTGTTTTTTTTTTCCACATACTTTTCTCTCCTTAAGTCATGGCTAAAAGGAAACCTGAAGTTCTACTTGGTTAAAACTTACAGTTTTTAATATTTGCTTTTCTTTGAGAAGAAATATTGCTAACTGATTCATTACAGAATATGGAAGTCATACACAAAAATGAACTAAGTGTCTGATTTCTTACAAATTCAGCAAAACATTAATGTGTCTTGTAACCAGCACAGCGTGGCAGCTGCCTTAATAAATCAAATGGTCCGTCGTGTTACATTAGTGTGATTTCACAGTAATCTGCAATGCCACTTCTAATTATTAAAATGTGTCATGGGTTCACAAATATGGCAAACAGGTGGTAGAAAATAAACTGAAACTAACAAACCACCTTTTTTATCGGCTGTTTTGATACATTCCTTAGCAAACCAGAGTAAAAAGCAATTTAGTGACGTTGATATCCCCCAGCTACAAATGTCCAAAAAAATCAAGACTTTTCTCTAAAAGTCTGACAGAAGAGAAACCCGAGTGCTTTTCCTCTCTGTGGTGTATTCTATTTCTATTTTCTTTTTTTGACACGTTACAGATTTGAACTTATTCAAATTTCCCTGAGGTGAGAAATGTCTGTACATATTATCACAGAAGTCCAATGCGCAACTTACTTCACAACATAAAAGGATTTGCCTCATGAGAAGCCAGGGACCATAACCATGAATTTAAAATGTTTAGATAAAATGTTTTGGCCCTATAGCTGGCGGTTTGTATTTAAAACATCTAAAGGGGCACTGTGCAAAGCCATGTTCTTGAATGTAATTGTCCTTGGCTTATACTCGGGCCTCCAGAGACCTCAGCCCACAGGAGACATCTCAGACGTAATGGTAAAGGCTGGATGAACTCAGAATAGAGGAGACAGCTTCAGTATCTCGTAAAGAAACTGTACGATCTATGAAGCCTTAAAGAAACAGAAAAAACAACATTTTGAATAATACAGAAAAGAACAATTCTGGGGAGTTTTTGTTTGGTTTAGATTGTTCTTTGCTTTTGTTGAAAATGAGGAAACAAGATCAAGAGAAAAGTTAAATCTTTTATTCCCTGCTTTGTTTGAAAAGGGTAATGCTCTCTGAGAAGTCAGTGAATGAGCCAGAGCAAGCAAAGAGTGTGAATGCAGCAGAAGAGAATACATTAATATGCACTAAAGATGAAAGAGAAATGCTCAAATGCAAATACATTTGGAACATTCTGTGATCTTGGCATGAATATAATGTGATGCAGTGGGATAATTCTGAATTGGAAAAGGTGGAATTAAAAATACCAGAATCATCCCTTACAGAAAGCAGCAACAGTAATCCACAGGAGGTGTATAATTCAACAGAAATTCCCAATTGTAATTTCAGACTATGCACCGTTTTAAAAATGAAAGCAAGGAGCCTTGAATTATGTTTGCAGAATGTTGTGTTCTCCCCGTACAGGCTCAGCTCCCTTTGCACGGGTATGGTGCATTCATTCCTAACAATTCCACTGAGCCCGTTCTACCCTCTCCTCTTTACCCCGTTGTCTTTCCCTTCAAATTCAGTACCCTCCCAGCTGTGTGCTTCTCCAGGGATTCCCTGAGCTCCCTTGGCCCACAGACAGACTGCGGAGTCTGTGGGGAACCTGACATAACATAAACTCTGTTGTGAAGCAGAGGTGTCAGAGTCTGGGGGCTGCATCTCTGCTGATCAAGGAGCCACAAGGATGCGGAAGCCTTTTAGTTCTTTACACTTTAAAGGTTGCAGTGATAAAACGCACACGTTTAACAGGATGGTGGTGTGTTGAATCCTGCTACGTGGGCTGCAGTTCTACCAAAAACCTAAGTATAGAAAGCTGTGGCCTATTTAGGCATTATTGATATGAGGATGGACTATGCACGATGAGAAAATAAAACCGGTAGAGAGCATGAGGAAAAAGTGACAGTTACCTTTAATTTTCCAAGATGGATAAATACAAATTTAAGACCCTTTGATTAAAACTAATTATTGTTTATCTCTAGTTTTCACTGTTATGACATAAATCTATGATGGTGAAGCTCTCTAATGATTTTCTTAGACCCCTTTGCTAGACATTCTTTACTTTGGTTTCACTCAAATATAAGCAGGCACAAATAACTAATAAACAGAATAGTTGTATGACTTTACAACTGAATTAATTACCAGAGAAAACAAACAAACAAAAAAAACAGCTTTCCCACACACACTATACCATATGGAACTACATTAGAAGATAGTATTTAAAGCAGTTGGCTTCTCATTAATATTCTTGTTTCAGATTACGGTACAAACAGACTCATTCTTCGTATATTTACTGGAGGGAAGTATGCAGAAAATGTTTCCTCTGTGTATTTGCACCCACACACAAACATACTCTTCAGGCACTGTACTGATGTTATTAGATAATTACACTTACTTGAGTATTGATTTACCATAACTGCAGATGGGGACAATGTTTTTACTTTGCCTGGTAAATGTTGTTGCACTTCTTACTTTTAATGGTGGCAAAAATGATCATTCTACTTTTTACCCTATTTATCTTGTGATGCATCAAAAGTGTAATAGTTTTAGCTCAGGCTGGAGCTGGAACGGAAAACAAAACAGTGACTCAATTGAAAAAGGGAGCAATCTCAGTTCTGGCTGAGTTAAATATATCTGCAACTGTGATATTAACAAATTAACACAATACATTGCTATTTTAATTCATTTTTTATTTTTAACTCACGCTTTAATTCAAATCTGGATAACAGACATGTTGTGATGCCTCTGACATGACAAGGCTGCACAAATTCAAAACCTAGAGACTTTGTCAGAGATCACTGCCAATTTTAATATGAACTAAACTGTTATGTTGACATTTTATTTATAGTTGTATTTATTTTTATGGTAAATCGCATTGTGTTGAAAATGAACGGTAAACATTGCTTACCAGCAACAGTTTTTAAGATGGCTTTGTCTTTTACAGCCAATTAAGTCCGTAATAGATGCAAAATGCACTTGCCAAAAACTATTGAACAGCTAAGTTTGTCATTATGGCACTGATGCACAGTTTACAATGAGGTGACCACAGTAGGTCCAACTCGCAAAAAACGACAAGCAGAACAAAAATCGTGAATGTCATGACCGGAGGGTGGTGATGTGGTGAAGGGATGGGTCCAATTGCAAGGCCCAGGGAGGGAAACACAGGGAGCCAAGAACTCAGGAAAAACTCATTTTTTAACAAGGACAGCGAAAGGCACAGCAACAGCTGGAAACAGGAGAAACTAAACTGGGAAGAAAGCAGAAACCTAGAACTTAACAAATCCAAGAATCCCAGTGTTTCTTGGATTAAAGTAAGGAAGCAGGACCTGGAACAGACACATGAAAATGAAGTTGGAGAAATGGCGCTAACGGAGTTCTGACGTCATGACATTAAGGACCCGGTGTGAAATGATGGAGAAACTTTTAAGGAGGGTTGTGTGGTTAGTGGAATGAAAGCCAGGTAACTGAGAAATGCAGGCAGGTATTTGAATGATAACCAGAATCTGAGGGGTAAAGTAAACTGAGACACAAAGGGAAAACACAGGAAACAAAAAAAGACACAAGAATAAAACAGGAAACCAGAAACTAAGACAGATAGAAGCCTACTAAAATAAAACACAAGAACAAAAGAATGGAAAATATAACTAAGAAACAAGATAAAAAATTTAAACAACATAACACAACTGGTGGTGACTCGTTTTTAATATTTCCTCCTACAAATCCTTTTAGTGCAGAAACTTTCTTTAAAAATGTTTTTATAGCATGGTAATTGTCATTGGCCTTTGATTTAAAGACCACATTATCTAAAAAAGGCTACACTAGCCAGGAGTCCATGTTCCAAGAAAGCACAATGGCTTCTTTTGTTGTGCACCTATCTCCCAGAAATGACAGGAAACCGCTGCTGTTGTGGGCTTTCACCAGGTCAGTATGCAGTCTTCTTATTTTGTTATATTCAGTTTAGACCGCTAACATATTGGACTACCACTGACAGCCTAAAATGCAGCATATGCATATTTCAGTTTGTAATAGCAACGGATTTTGAAAATGTGAGGACGTTGGGAACCGATAACCCCTGGCCTTTGACTAGTGCTATGAGACCATGCCTATTCCAAAATTAAGCCAAAAACTCAAAAAAGGTAACCTCCAGTCATTTTTTTCCAACCCCAAAACAAGACCACACATACATTTTAGAATACACACATGTTGTGTGAAGACATTCAAGTGACAATCAAGGAAATAAGATATAATGTTCTATCTGTTGTATGAAAGCTGGTGTGAAAGGAGGTTTAATAAGGTTAAAAAAAACTTTATCTAAGCTAAACACTTCAATTAAGAGAAAATATAACTTTTAAAAATCAAATTGTGTCTTGCTGTTTATCAATCTAACATAAGTTTGAAAGTCATTCTATTATTAGATCTCCAACAGTGGGTGGATCAACAGCACTTCTGCAGATATGATTTGTTGATTAATTTTTTGAAAATGTACTTTTCAGCAATCCAATTGAAAGACATGTGAATAAAAAGAATGAAAACTGTATTTTCTTGTTCTGAGTGGAAAAAGCACAAATAGATGCTTAATAAGGCAGATCATAGACCGAAAACAAATGATTAGTAACAAAGAGAATTGAGGGTGTTTTGCTGCTTGGAGTGGAACTTCGAAAAAATATTTAATCATTTACGTCAATTGCTGATCTTACTCACCTTATTTGTGTAACTGGGTGTTTGCATTACAAAAAAACTGGTTAGATAAAGTTTTCTGGAGCCAAATTGTAGAGGTTTGGAAAACATCTCAGTTTGCTTTAAAATAGACTGTTTCACAGCACAAACGGGATATTAAAATCGCCTTTCTCTATCTGAATGAAACAATGACCCCTGTTTTGTCAGGCAAATGACACATAGGCATGATGTAAACCACCCACTGAAATACATAACCTTAAATCCTGCAATGGATGTAGCAACTAACTTACATAATTTGTTTCTTTCTGCACAAACACACCCATTTGTTATTTGGTTT